AAGATTGATATTGTTTATGTGACCAAGTGGCTCGCGCGCTGCCGAGACAACACGTGTATTACATAATTTTCAGTTATTTGATGTGAATCTTACCACACCAGACCGTGTTTACTCATTTGGTTGTTTGGCTGCATTTAATTCTGAGGAATTAAATTAAGTATTTATCTGACTATGAGAAGTTAGATATATAATTTTCGATTTTTGAAATGAATTTTATCACACCAGACTGTGTTTACTCGTCTGGTTGTTTGGCTGCAGGTCTCTAGAGCAGCTAGTAGGGCTGTCCCCTGCCAGTTCGCCGCTTCAGGGCACCGAGCTAGCCGCTCTGATTACACCAGAGGTCAGTCTCGAGAGACTGATTCCCTTAGTAGACTAAACGTGTCTCGGTGAGTCCTTCCGAGTAGTAGTCCGGTAGAGTGAGGCTATAGAATCCAGTTCTCCTCCGCCTCAGTTTAAAAGAAGCTGACACTGGTTTCACCACACGTGCTTTTATGCTTCCTGGTAACTACGTCACCCCGCCCGTGACGTCTCGCCCATCCATTGGACTGATTACACATGTGATTCAGAGCGTGGTCACGTTAGAGGCGTTCCCGTAGCGTTTCGACGCAGCGTCTCGTTCCCTTCGGGGAACCATGGTTACATACTTAACCTGGAGACGTTTTCTCTATAGGATTAAAGCAGAATCTAAGGGCAAAGTTTTTGTTCATCTTCAAAGGGCACCTTGGTTAAAATCCAGGGCTCGTATTCACAAAATAAATCGTATTCCTAAATTTTTGCTCTAAGAGTATAAGTGTTTTAGTGCTAAAACTAGCTCCTAGATCTGTGAAACATTTGGAGTAGTGAAGAAGACTCCTAAGTCACTAAGACCAAACCACAAACTATCTGAAAAAGGCTGTTGCCGGCAATTTGCCTTGGAACGTAAACATTTTAGAAACATTTGACAATAATGAGATTTTAAAAAGGTTATCCCAACTCCAAATTTATCAATTTTCAAAATGTTTAAAAAAAAATTTAAAAAAATCAGTTGGGCAAGAAGTAACAACTGTTCTTGTGTCCAGTTTGGTTTTCTTTTACGTTTGAATGTCTTACTATCAGCCATGATTATTCTGCTCTGTTAATTAAAAGGCTGTTTATATGCATATCTGCTAACTGTTTACGAGAAGCATACATGTAAGAGGTTGACAATTAGCTGAACATATACTTGTTTAATTAGTGACACTTAGCCTGCATTTTAAAACTTTATTTGAATGTGGCAATTAACATTTTTATTTTTAAACCTTTATTTGAATATGGCAACATAATATCGCGTTCTACAATATTTCTATGATAAAAAAAAAAACTCTGACAGAGACTACTCCCCTATCAGCCAATCACTGTGTGCATAGTGTAGTGAATCAGCTCATTCATGGGGAAATATGAATAATTAATCATAACTAGTTATAATTAATTATAAATATTCATCCATACCAACGAGGTCGACCCCACCCTTACTCTTTGCTTAAGACTTCTCTCTATTCCTTAGTAAAAGTTTGTCGTCTCAGCAGCTTTGTGAATAGGTTTTAAGAGAAAAGTCTGAGCCAAAAACTTTTACTGCTATTTAGGAGAATTAGATTTTTAGGTATGTAACATTAGTCTGAGCCAAAAACTTTTACTGCTATTTAGGAGAATTAGATTTTTAGGTAAGATTTTTATTTTTATTTTATTATTATTATTATTTATTTTTTTTTTTTTTTATGGTCCTGAGTTAACAATTTTAAATGTGAAAAGCTCTACTGAGTTCTGCCTGACTCATGTGAAGTGTATATTTGTTGCTGTGTGTTTGTGTAGCGGTGTCTATGTTGCCCGCCCAGCCGTCTTTGTCTCATCTGGCACTGGGTCTGTCTGTGGGGACCTCCGCACTCATCGCTGCCTTGCTGTTGGCCGTTTCTGGTGTTATGATCAGTAAGTAGACTATGTCAAATTCTTTTTATGAGCATAGTTTCATGGAGTCTCAGAGGTTAACTAAAACATAATACTGGAGCCAAGCCATTTGGGGAAGCTTTTTGTTAATTTTTTGGGTATTAGAAACAAAGCGAATAAACCTGCACTTGCAGAAAAATCACAGACAATGATATAATAATATGTTGCATATTTTATGTTTCACTGGCCAATATGACTGTGGTCTTGGACAGTATACCTATGGGTGTGGATGTAGCTTCATGCCAAAGCGATATCAATGCCACTGTAGGAAATGTGAAATTTACTTTATTTCATGACCAAAAGTGTCCAATAAGAATTATGTATGTATGTATGTATGTATTTATTTATATATGTATGTATTTATTTATTTATTCAAAAATAATTTTGGGGGCTGTCTGGTCTGTATTATTATTTTTTTTTTTTTTTTTTTTTGGTGCCACTGTAGGAAATGTGAAATTTACTTTATTTCATGACCAAAAGTGTCCAATAAGAATTATGTATGTATGTATGTATGTATTTATTTATATATGTATGTATTTATTTATTTATTCAAAAATAATTTTGGGGGCTGTCTGGTCTGTATTATTATTATTTTTTTTTTTTTTTTTAGGAAAACCTATTGAATGCACTTTTAAAGAAACAATATATTCATTCAACTGCACACATGCCACACAAGCTTTCAAAATTCAAAATGAGGATTCATGTCTCATGTTTGACACACACACACACACACACACACATACTCATGGCACCAAACACATAATCTGTCCATCTACACTGTAGTAACAGTCTCTGAGTGATAAATAGAGTAGATGTGTGATAAATGGGCTGTTAACTGAGCTCTGACAAGCCTTGTCGATTACCACTTTATGAATAAATCACTTCCACACGCTGCACTAATGTGTTTACTGCATCGGTCAAGCCCACCAAGTTTACCTGGGTGTTGCCTGTTTGTGAAAATTGTTTTTAAGTGGTTTTATCATGTAGTTATCCACAAATTTGCAATGAAATGTCACCACTAAGGTTGTTATAGTTAACTAAAATTATTCAAATTACAGAGAAAATTGATTTTAATTATTAAATCTGATTTAATAATAACCCTGATAACAAGAGAAATTAAATTTGAGTCCAATTTAATTTGTCCCGAAGGGCCTCAAACAAACATTATAACACTGGTTATTGTGCAGCAGTTTGATAGTTCATTTCCAAATTGAATCTGAATGTAACATTGACAATGGCAACAATCCCATTATGCTAACATTTATGTAGCAAACTGGAAAAAAATATAATGCTGTGCTGATTGTCGTTCCAGTGTACAGACGTAAACGCACCGAGCTCCAGTCTATCCAACTTGAGCTACAGAGTCCCGACTGTAAGCTGAGCAAACTGAGAGCCTCTACCATCATGACCGACTACAATCCCAACTACTGCTTTGGTGGGAATACCGCCTCCATCAACGATCTGAAGGAGGTGCCACGGCGTAACATCTCCCTCGCCAGGTTGGGAGCATCAATAATTCCTTACAGTCCAGCTGGGTTGAAGAAGTGTTATGTGCTGGCATGTTGTTTGACTGTGAAGTGTCTTCATACAGTTGATAAAAATTAATCTTCTAATAAGTGAAGTCTGAAACTTCCTAAATGTACTATGTGAAATATATGGAATGATATTATTGACAACATAAGTAACAATACTCTTAATGTATGTTTTGTTTGTAGAGGTTTGGGTCATGGCGCATTTGGAGAAGTCTATGAAGGACTAGCCGTTGGGATTCCAGGGGAGCCCAGTCCGATGCAGGTGGCTGTAAAGGTAAGATCTGCAAATATATAAAAAGTCTGTTATGCTGCTTGATCTTGCATACTGGGGTTTAATATTTTGATCTGTAGTATTCTGAAAGAGCAGGATGAACTAGACTTTCTCATGGAAGCTCTCATAATCAGGTAACAATGAAAAGCACAAGATACATCATTCCAAAGGGCTAATTTATGAGGACATATAGCAAAAATACCACATTTCTCTTTCTATTCCTCTGACAGCAAGTTTAGTCACCAAAACATTGTGCGGTGTATCGGGGTGAGTCTGCAAGCGCTGCCTCGCTTCATTCTGCTGGAACTGATGGCCGGAGGGGATCTCAAGAGCTTCCTGAGGGAAACTAGACCAAGACTAGTAAGAACACACACACACACACACACATACACACACGTCACAGAATGTGCACAGTGTCTTGTATTGCATAAACCTCATTAAGTTATGTTTTTCATTAGTTTATTTGATTAGTAGTTTGTGACTTTGCTTTTAGATTATTTATTTGGTTGGTGGTGGTGGTGGTGGTGTATTTGTTTCTGTGTATATTAAAAATTACTATGCTTGCAGATAATTTCCTATTATAAAATAAATGGCCACAAGTAAAGTTTACTTTATACTGTAATGTCAAATTAAAAGTTTTACATTGAAGTGCACTTTAAATCATCATGTTTTAATATTACTTTCTCAGGATATAAAGAAGTAAACTTAATCTGATGTGTTGACTAACATACTAAAGCACATTTAAAGTACTTGATTGTAATTTTAACTGTAGTGTGTTAGTGTCGTTTGGTATTATATTTAAAGTTTTAATGTACTAATTTGCAACTAAACCCTAAACCATTATAAATGTATTGCAATTAAAAAAAAAAAATACATAAGTTTTAATAGCAGTGGCATTATTGGTATTTCAAAGACTATATAATTAATAATTAAATTACAAATACACTGAACAAAATTATAAACGCAACACTTTTGTTTTTGCCCCCATTTTTCATGAGCTGAACTCAAAGATCTAAGACTTTTTCTATGTACACAAAAGGCCTAATTCTCTCAAATATTGTCTAAATCTGTGTTAGTGAGCACTTCTCCTTTGCCGAGATAATCCATCCACCTCACAGGTCTAAGTGGATCAAAAAAGCACACTAAAGTAGGACTTAAGTTCAACTAACTGCATTTAATAAATATTAAAATTATAATAAATGTGTATTTAAACGTGCAATTATGTCACTAAAGACATCACATTCTGTTTGCACTTACGTATATTCTTCTAAGTATATTATTGAAATATATTAATAAGTATTCTTTTCAAAATTTGCTAAAGTGTACTTATTTTTCACAAGGGAATACCCAGCATTCTGACTTTCTGTAATGTTTCCCAGGAGCATCCTTCAAGTCTAACCATGGTAGATCTTCTCAACATTGCCAGAGACATCGCCCGCGGCTGCCAGTACTTAGAAGAGAACCAGTTCATCCACAGGTATAATAACCAACACACCTTGACACATTACAGATCGATTTAACAACAGATGGATGATCTGCTTTTTCCTGAAGTCAGCACAAATTCAGCGCTCTTGACTCTGTTCAGGAGTTCTGCTTCCCTCTCATGCCTGCAATGGGAGTTCAGTTCTATTTCCTTTTGACACTCTCATCCAGAATGGCATGAAAAATGAGTCCACTTAGAGCTCATTTATGCTACATGAGCAGTCCGGTCATCAATCCAAGTATAGAACAGGGACGCTGAGACACTTACCCATCTGCGGTTTCCTACTGAAGTTCCTCACACAGCCGAGTTAAAATGTATCTGGGCCTTCGTGTTCAGTTTCAACTTTTTGGTCAAAACCCAGAGGGATTGATCGCTTTGCTCTTTCTGGGGATTTTTTTTTTTTTTAGCATAAAAGGCGTAATCCATTGCTGTCAACCAAACACCAAATGCCTTCAAATAGTACAAGTAATTGGAAACATGAGTTTCATGACATGACCTTCAAAAGGAAACAAGAATAGTCTTGCAGATCAAGACTTCTTACTGTCCTCGTAACTATACACAACTTTGTAGCCTTTCTGGCCATAACACTGTAGCAAAATTAGACCAAAAAAGAAAAAATGTATTAATCATGATCAATTCATGAACTATTTGGATTGAGTAACTGGTTTGATGATTAGGATGTTAAGACTTGATTAACTACACTAAACACTTAAACTGTTCTAACACACACACACACACACACACACATTGGTTTCCATGTTTTATGGGACATTCCATAGCCATAATGGGTTTTATACTGTACAAACTGTATTTTCTATTCCCTTAGCCTAACCCTACCCCTAAACCTACCCCTCACACAAAACATTATGCATTTTTAGATTTTCAAAAACCTTCATTTTGCATGATTTGTAAGCGGTTTTCCTCATGGGAACCAAAAAATGTCCCTACAAGGTCAATATTTACTGGTATCGCTATCCTTGTGGGGACATTTGGACACACACACACACACACACACACACACACAGGTTTCCATGTTTTATGTAGGAAGAGGACTAAAGCTGAAGCATAGTAAATAATTAAGTTATAGCAGTATTTGATATTAGGCAGATCTACAGCCTGAAGAAAACATAAGTTTCTTAATTCAAACAAACCTTTATAAAAATGGGGTAAATGATACTTAGTGTCTCAATTAATGAGACAAAGTTTGATACTTGCACATCTCGCCTGTTTAAAAGAGAGTTTTGTTGTTGAGAGAGAACAGGTTTCGATGCAGAATGTTTTTGATGAATGCAAAGGCTGCATTTATTTGATAAAACTTAGGGGTCCTTTGAAGACTTCTAGCTCAGCATCATCTTCACCAAACTTCAGAATCCATTTAGACCTTACAGTGATCTTTTAAAGTGTGAGGGTGTCAAACTCTCAGGAAGTGAGCCAATAAGGAATTGTACTTACGGAGGGAAAGTTTATGACCCTTTGTCTTCTAGTAATGTTATTTTTTATAAGCAATTAGATTGGGTGTAATGAGAAGAACCTTCAAGATTCCTATAATATCAACATGCAACAGAGACAAAGAAAGATGACAAAACAAAGTACTGTTAATTAGTGTGTGATGTTGACTTAGTTTAGAGTTTGACAAGAGTCTATCTATAGGTCACTGGAACTAGAATGTACAGCAATCTATGATACAGACAAAGTTTGTGCTTGACTGTGGTTTCAAACACCTGCAGAGTTGACAGGTTCATTGTTTATAATTGGAGAATTCTATCTTTGGTGCATCACTAAAAGTGTGGATGGGGTAACATTCATTTTGCATGCTCTAAATATGTGTGGACAGCATCTCACAATGGTGCGAATAACTCCTAAAGTGGACACCAGTAATTAGACAATAGGCATAATGGACATTTATGATTAGAATTATTAAAGTAGAGGTTTAGCTGGTTAGTTAGCCAATTTAATATACCTGCATTTGCAAGAAGGTTATTTACAGTAACAGGGCTGGAAACAATTTCACATCACAACATTGCTACTGAACAGTGCTAAAAATTTTAAGCTGGCAAAGCTTAAGTTACTGAAAATATATCTCAGAATGAAATATGTGTCCTGGTGGGTAACAAGGATGAGAAGAGAGTGATCTAAATGCAGCTTTCTTTAATATATTTCACAAAAACAATGATGAAAATCCATGGGAGAAACAATAAATATTACAGGAGAAACAAGAGACAACACAAGACAAAAAGAACTGTGACTATATGGTGATACCGGATATATATATATTTTTGTGTGATTGTTTAATTTAAAATCAGACAAATATCTGCGATAAATGTGTCTGTCTGCTCACTTTTTATTCTTAACAGGGATATTGCGGCCAGGAATTGTCTTCTGACCTGCAAAGGTCCGGGGAGGGTGGCCAAGATTGGTGATTTTGGCATGGCCAGAGACATCTACAGGTATGCTACATACTTCTGGTTGGCATCATGATCTTATATTTCACCTTAAAGTTCTCCTGGCTGTAACACAAAAATTATAAACAAATAAATACATAAAATAAAATAAATATATATTAAACATGCAAGCACCAGTCAACAGGAATTAAAGATGGCAGACTCTTATTATTAAAAAAAAAAAAAAAAAACATGACAGTTCTATTTTGCATCAATGTTTATATTCAATATTCAGGCTATACAATATGAAAGACTGTTTAGTGGCTGTGTTTTTCTTCCACAATATTTCAGCTGAGAAAAGATGAAAGCATATCTCATTCTGAAAACCCATTTGCAAGCTTTTATTATTAACATAATTCTCATTTTAAGGCAAGAGCCAAGCAAACTTATTTAGTAAGTGCTCAACTAATTCGAAGGGTATATTTCAATTTCTTTGTTATTTATACTGAGATTTACCTCCAGGAATAAACCATGGCTATGTTAGATATAACATACGACCAAACCACTCTTATAGTATGTATATCCAGTACATACACTGTCATTCAGAAGTTTAGGATCAGAAAGATTGTAATGTTTTTGTTTTTCCTCTCTCTCTCTTATGCTCATCAAGGCTGCATTTATTTGATAAAGTTAGAGAAAAGTTTTCTTTTTTTGAAAACGTGCTGTTCTTTTTAACTTATTATTCATCAAAGAAGCAGCACAACTGCTTCCAGCATTGATAATAAATCAGCATAATAAATCACTGTTTGATCAAATAAATACATCCTTGATGAGAATCAGAGAAGAGATTTCTTTAAAAAAAAAAAACAGTAAATAAACATCAAAAATCTTATTTTACTGATCCCAAACTTTTGAATTCATGAAATGGAAACTGGATTTATTTCTGTGATGATAACTAGACAGCACTTGCTGGATTATGCAAAATGTGAATTGTTATTGTGTTGTAAACATTCTGTTGTTTTAAATACTGAGAGGAACACTGAAAGCCCTCTTCTGATCAAAGCCCAGAATAAGGATAAAATGGGATAAGAGGATAATTTTCCCTCTTAAACAAGCCAGACAGGAGCCTGCACAATATATATATATATATATATATGTAAATTATTTGTAATC